GTATTAACTCACATGATCATAAGGTCCCACAATAAGCTGTCTGCAAGCTGAGGAGCAGGAAAGCCAGTCTGAGTCCCAAAGCCGAAGAACTTGGAGTCTGATGTTCAAGGGCAAGAAGCATCCAGCATGGGAGAAAGACTTAGGCTGAGAGACTAAGCCAGTCTAGCCTTTTCACAGTTTTCTTCCCCCTTTATATGTGCTGGCAGCTGCTTAGATGGTGCTCACCCAGATTAAGGGTAGGTCTGCCTTCCCCAGCCCACTGACTCAAATGTTCATCTCCGTTGGCAGCACCCTCACAGACACACCCAGGATCGATACTTCAGACCTTCAATCCAGTCAAGTTGCCACTCAGTATTAACCATCACAAGTCCATACCTTGTCAACTTGAACCCATACACATCTCCTGAGATCATACATAATCTTAAAGACAATAATAAGGTCATAATTACACCTAACATATACAACTATCCTTTGTACAACTGAAAACTTACTAATCCCCAACCCAAGTGCTATTACATAAAGTTAACAATACTTAAATGCTGATATGAAGTCAATAAATCTTATGTCACATGATAAAGGAAAAGGAAATAAAATATTTTCTTAGTACAAGTGTATACATACACAAACAGGTTTTTAACAAAAGAAGGAGGAAATACTTATGACAGTCCTCATTTCTGCAGCTGGTCACATGGTTGTAGCTGGTATTGATGACTCTCTTCTACTACCCATTCTGTATTCCTTTGTCTTCAACACTTCAGCAAGCACCTCAGCAGGTCGTGGGTTTTTTTTTCCTGATGGAGTGACCCAAGCCTTCATTCCTGAAGGGCCTGGGTCATTTGTAGTCCTTCCTAAATTGGGCTGTTGTAGTTTCCCATTGACCTTAATCACAGGGCATGGTAATACTAAGAAACATCCTAATGGATCTCCTGTATTCCATGCATACTCTTCCTTACCTCTGTTGTGGAGTAGTAGACTGATTTCACCTTGATAGTCCAGGTCAGTCACCCCAGGCAACACTGTAACTCCCTTCTTAGACTGTTGACTTAAAGGTAGGAGGAGCCCAAAGTGTCCTGGTGGCAACCTTAACTTCCAGTTTAATGGAATCGTTGCTGTCTCACCTGTTGGCAGTGTTCCTCCCTCTGGAACTGAGACCTCTAGGCCAGCAAAACTAATGTTGTGGTAACCGGAAGCAACAGTTTTGCTAGTGGGTCACTAGGGGTGATGGTGAGTGATGCCACTTCCACTTCCACCACTTGATTCCCGAGCCTGTGAAGCCTGGCTATGGGAGAAACAGTACCATATATTGGATGCTGATTCAGAGCATACATGGCCTTCTGAAGAACTTTGCCCCAGCCCTGCAAAGTATTGTCACCTAGTTGGCATTGTAATTTTGACTTCAAAAGGCCATTCTACTATTCTATCAATCCAACTGCCTCAGAATGATGGGGAACATGGCAAGACCAGTGAATTTCATAAGTATGAGCCCAGTGCCACACTTCTTTAGCTGTAAAGTGCCTTGGTCAGAGGCAATGTTGTGTGGAATACCATGATGGTGGATAAGGCATTCCCTGAGTCCATGGATGCCCTGAGTCCCTGAGTCTTGGCAGAAGCATCGCATGCAGTATAGGCAAACCCATATCCAGACTAAGGGTCTATTCCAGTGAGGACAAACCTCTGCCCTTTCCATTATGAAAGAGGTCCAATAAAATCAACCTGTCGCCAGGTAGCTGGCTGATCACCCTGAGGATTGGTGCCATATCGAGGGCTCAGTGTTGGTCTCTGCTGCTGGCAAATTGGGCACTCAGAAGGGGCCATAGTCAGGTTAGCCTCAGTGAGTGCGAGGCTCATGTTGCTGAGCCCGTGAATAACCTCCATCCCTGCCACCATGGCCACTTTGTTTATGAGCCCATTAGCAGTGGCAAGGGTGGCTGGGGAAAGAGGTTGAGTGGTGTCCACAGAACAGGTCATGCTATCCACTTGATTATTAAAATCCTTCTCTGCTGAGGTCATCTGTTGATGAGCACTTACATGGGATACAAATATCTTCACAGTTTTTGACTAAGAGAAGTCCATCCACATACTTCTTCCCCAAATTTCTTTGTCACCAATTTTCCAATCATGCTTTTTCAAAGTCCCTAACTCTCCAGCCAAATCATTGGCTACAGTTCATGAATCAGTATATAATCACACACCTGGCCATTTCTCCTTCCATGCAAAGTGCACAACCAGGTGCACTGCTAGAAGTTCTCTCCACTGGGAAGATTTCCCTTCACTGCTGTCCTTCAGGGATGTCGTAGAAAGGGGCTGCAGTGTTGCAGCTGTCCACTCTCAGGTGGTGCCTGCATATCATGCAGAAGCACCTGTGAACCAGGCTCTAGTCTTCTCTTCCTCTGTTAACTCATCATGGGGAACTCCCCATGAGGCCATCAGTGCAGGCTTGGGGAGAGAAGGCAGAGTGGCAGGAGTAGAGACCATGCCATTTGAATCACTTCCTCATGTAATTTACTTGTGCCTATGTGACCTGCTCGAGCCCAATCATGTATACCACTTCCATTTGATGATGGAATGCTGCTGTGCATGACCCACTTAATGGCTAGATGGGTCAGAAAGCACTCAGCTTATGACAGGCAGTTCAGGTCACATGGTGACTTGATGACCCATAGTCAAATGTTCACTTTCCACCAAAGCCCAGTAACAGGCCAAGAGCTATCTCTCAAAAGGAAAGTAGTTATTTTCAGAAGATGGCAGGGCCTTGCTCCAAAATCCTAGAGGCCTCCACTGTGATTCTCACCTCAGGCCTCACCTATGGAGGCCTGCCAGGGGCTCCAAACAGCATCCCTATCTGCCATTGACACCTCAAGCACCTGGAAATTGATTGAGGGGCCATGATTCTCTGTTTTTATAATTCAAATTAGTATTTTTTCCATTCAACCTAGAAGTTTCCTGCTTATATAAATTAAGTAGGAATGCAGTAGGCTTCCTATTAATTTCACTTTGAGAAACACCATGACTGATTAGCTAATGCCAGAGCTTGACATGTGTCAGACTGTTCTGATTGCTGCTTTGCCTCTGTTGTCCATTACAGTAGCTCTGCCCATCTTGTCTGTGACAATTGAGTACTGCCACGTGGCCCCTGCCGCCTCAGCATTCAATTATTCCCACTGTGTTCACATTTTACAGTTTAGTGACTGTGGTTCCCACTGTTAGATCTGACATACAGAGAAGAGCAAGTACAGGGTTCTTCAAAAATGCAGGTGAATCTATTTTGCAAGGCATTAATGAAGGGTATATTTTCTGGACCCTCCCAGCTGGGATGAGTAGGTTTAAAGTGACTAACCCACTCCACCATCCCAATCTCCCTAAGTCTTTGGATCCCTTCCTCTACATTAAACAAAGGGAGATCAGGCGTTTCCTCCTCACTCACAGTGGGCCATCTTTTAATCCACATTTCAGCTAACCAAGCAAATAAACTATTAGAACCTTTTTTAACTCATCGAGCTGCAACATTAAATGCAGATATATATAATAGGATATATATGTATATACAGTACATATCTATATAATAATATCTATGTAATATGTATAATATATACATATCTATATAATAGCTACATATATAAAGGGGAGTTTATTAGGTAATATTAACTCACATGTTCACAAGGTCCCACAATAGGCTGTCTGTAAGCTGAGGAGCAAGGAAGCCGTTCCGAGTACCAGAGCTATAGAACTTGGAGTCTGATGTTCAAGGATAGGAAGCATCCAGCACGGGAGAAAGATACAGACTGAGAGGCTAAGCCAGTCTAGCCTTTTCACAGCTTTCTGCCCCCTTTATGTGTGCTGGCAGCTGCTTAGATGGTGCTCACCCAGATTAAGGGTAGGTCTGCCTTCCCCAGCCCACTGACTCAAATGTTCATCTCCGTTGGCAGCACCCTCACAGACACACCCAGGATCAATAGTTTACATCCTTCAATCCAATCAAGTTGGCACTCAGTATTAATCATCACACAATTGTTTAATTTTTTTTGAACTTTTTTTTTTTTTGAGACAGAGTCTGACTCTGTCACCCAGGCTGGATTGCAGTGGGGTGACTATAGCTCACCGTAGCCTAGAACTCCTAGGCTCAAGGGATCCTCCTGCCTTAGCCTTCCTAGGAGCTGGACTACTGGTGTGTTCCATCATGCGTGGCTAATTTTTTATTTTTTTAAATTTTATTTTTTCAGCTCTTTCTCTACAGGGGATAAGACTGACTCAGGGCAATCTTAGAAGATTTGAGGCTCTGTATCTGCTTCTGAAGCCAGGAGTTCATCATTTTCTTTTGACACAAAAGTCTTGCTATGTTGCCCAGTCTGGTCTGAAACTACTGGTTTCAAATAGTCCTTCCTCCTTGGCTTCCCACGTGCTGGGATTACAGGCATGTGTCACTGCATCTGGTCCCAAAACATCTTGACATGATTTTACTTATTATTGGCTTTTCAGTAACAAAAGAGATATTTTAAATAATAGAATGTTCAGGGCACAGTGGCTCATACCTATAATCCCAGCACTTTGAGAGGTCAAGGCAGGAGGATCTCTTGAAGCTGGGAGTTCAAGACCAGGACCCTGTCTTCTTCCAACAGAAGGCTGTTTTATCTATACTAAAAATTGGTTGTTTAGTGTAGCCACTTTCATCCGTTATGTTAGCTAGATCTTCTGCATAACTTACTGAGCTTCTGCATCAGCACTTCCTGCTTTACCTTGCACTTCTATATTCTGGAAATGGCCCCTTCCCTTTCCCTTCCTTTTTCTTTCTCTCTCTCTCTCTCTCTTTCTTTCTTTCCTTCTCTCTTTCTTTTTTGAGACCAGTGTCTGTCTCTGTCACTCAAGCTGGAATGCAGTGGCATAATCTCAGCTCATTGCAACCTCCCAGGCTCAAGCCATCCTCCCACCTCAGCCTCTTGAGTAGTTGGAACTACAGGCATGTGCCACCACATCCAGCTAATTTTTCATTTTTATTTTTGTAGAGATGAAGTCTCACCACGTTACCCAGACTGGTCTCAAACTCCTGGGCTGAAGCAATCTGCCTGCCTCAGCCTCCCAAAGTGCTGAGATTACAGGTATGAGCCACCGTGCCTGGTGGCTTCTTTTCTTAACCCTCATGAACCAACCTGTGCTAGCTTCCAGCTTTTCTTCTGCAGTTTCCTTGCCTTTCTCAGCCTTAGAAAATTGAAGAGAGTTAGGACCTTGCTCTGGATTAGGTTTTGGCTTAAGGGAATGTTGTAGCTGGTTTGAGCATCTATCAAGACCACTAAAACTTTCTTCCTATCAGCAGTAAGACTTATATTTTATCATTCGTGTGTTCACCAGAGGAGCACTTTTAACTTCCTTTAAGAACTTTTCCCTTGCATTCGCAACTTGGCTAACTGGCACAAGAGGCCTAGCTTTCAGCGTATCTCTGCTTTCAATATGCCTTCCTCGCTAAGCTTAATCATTTCTAGCTTTTGATTTAAAGTAAGAAACGTGTAACTCTCCCTTTTGCTTGAACACTTAAGAGTTATTAACTGGCCTAACTTCATTATTGTTTTGTCTCAGAGAATTGGGAGGCCTGAGAAGAGGAAGCGAGACAGGGCAATGGCTAACTGGTGGAGCAGATGGAACACACGCAACATTTATCAAGTTCACTGTCATATGGGCATGGTTTGTGTTGCCCCAAAGCAACTACAATAGTAACATCAAAAATCGCTGATCACAGATCATCATAACAGATACAATGATAATGAACAAGTGTGATGTACATGATATCATTGTTTGATACAATAATAATGAAAAAGTTTGACCAAAAGGTGACGCAGAGACACAAAGTGAGCAAATGCTGTTGGAAAAATGGCACTGATAGACTTGTTCTGTGCAGAGCTGCCACAAACCTTCGATTTATAAAAAGTGCAGTATCTGCTAATGTCAATAAAGTGGAATGCATTGAAACTAGTTATCCCTGTATTTATCGCTAATTAAAAAACACAAAAATACAACTATAACCACAATACGATTATCACACCAAATTAACAGTAACTGCTAATAGCATCTAACTCCTAGTCTATTTAAGTATCTCTGTTGATCTGATGTCTCATAATCCTTTCTAAACCCATAATACTATTGGCTACAGGCTGTCCGCAACAGACATCTTTTCTCTTACATTCTCTTTATTCCTATACTTCTTAGGAACTGAGGGACCAGGTTTTTTTAAACAATATACCAGCTTCTCTAGAGGCTTTGACTTGGGCTGCTGACAGATAAATCTTTATTAAATCTTTGAAATGATATTATTCAAGAGACACACAAGGGAGATGAGTGATGAGAAGAGGAGGTGCTGTTAGGAAAGTGGCCCCAGGACATTAGATTTATCACAGAATCCTTTCCGTCAGTTAATCTTTTCCATTTTAGTGTCAGAGAGGATATCTGACCCCGTGGAATTAGGAGTTGTTTCCTACTTTTGCCAGACTGCTAAGGCCAGTGAATATTCAAGTGAAACCTTATCCAAATCTGGGGCTCTGCTGAGCACTGAGGACCCTCTGCCTGAGTTACTGCTCCTGAAATCTTCACACAGCTGTCTTTGGAGAGAGAAATATAGGGGCCAAGTATCTTGGATGAGCTGCAGTCAGTTTTCCAGGGATGTGGTTGATCGCAGAAAATACACAGCTAATTTATAAGACACTAGGAAGGCAGCTGCCTTGAGGATAACATATTGAGGATTCCAGAGGTCAAAAACTGACCTTGGTCCATATTGGAAACTCTCACTAGTGTGAACCAAAGAAGCCTACATGAAGCTATAGGCCATCTAAAAACCCCTGATGATGCAAAAGAGGTCAAAGATGAACATCTTAAAATGCAGACTGTTTCTGTATTGGCTGAGAGACTGATGGTATCTCATCTGGCTAGAAGGAAGTCAGGGAGTCAGGAACTCCTTCCTACTGCTAATACTAGTCCTGATCCTAGGATTTAACCAGTATTTTCAGTTTAACAAATATATGCATATATGTGTGTGTGTGTGTGTGTGTGTACATATACACACACACGGAATAAATTCTTATGGAAGAAAAGGATTGTTTTCATGGTCTTTGAGTCCATAGAAGCCAATAAACCACATTAAACACAGCCTCAGATTATCTGTCTTCTTTCTTCTTAATGCCTCTGCAAGATCATGCATTATCTCATAGGATTGGTATGTGACAGATTCTATTTTGAGTTTTCCGATGATTCCTTTTTTTAGTTTTTCTGGGAACCAGAGTTCAGAAGAAACTGTGCAACTGGGAGTTGCCCCCAGTTTACTAGATCTTGCAGTCCTAGTTTCAAAGAGGTCAGTGTCTTTTTTAAGGGCCATGTGGAGGCTCCATGTATTTAAGAGAAAGAATTCCTTGTGCCAAAAAGTGGTCTACACAGCATCCTTGACAGAGTTCTGTTCAGTGATGTAGTGACATAAGATGTCTCTGGCTGAAGAACTTTTTGAGTGCTTGAATAATGGGACCATTTTCGTGAACCCAATAAACCCAAGTTAATAAAACTCTCCACTGATATGAAGACAATTCATTCCCAATGAAACTAGCAAGACAGGAACCTCACACAGACAAGCATGCTGTCCTAACTTTTCCAAAGACGCTGCAGCTTTCAGCTGTAGCCATCATCATGCCATCTTCTTTACTGATACTTGGCTTGTTCAAATGCTTGGTGCACTTGTAATTACCCACTCAAAAAGGGTTTTTCATATCTGCCATTCCAAACTCCAGGCATGGCATGTTGATCTTGAGTGTGTGTGTGTGGGGTGGGGGTGGGGGATTAAAGTAGTAAATAGTTAAGCTTTACATTTAAAAATGGTTAAAGTGGTAAGTACATAAATTTATCACTTTAACCATTTCTTTTAATGAAGTCATAAACAGCATTTATTACCTTGGTATATCATACTGGTCTCGTTGCTGCTCCCTCACATTTAAGCGGCTTTCCATCTTTCCTCCCTCCTCCCACAGTCTGGCTGTGCAGTGCATCCCAGGACTGTTAGCCCACAGCAGCAGTATGCTTATTCCCTCCAGATCCCTAACATCATGCATCCATAAGGTCTCGTCCACAAACCCTTCCCTACAGGAAGTTCAATGGTTGCCAAAGAATTTGTAGTAAACCCAGCCTCTCACAATGGCGAGCTCCAGTAGGATAATGATGGAAAGCAGCAGCTTGTTGGTTGTCACTTTTCTGGACATTGAGCACAGAATCTTTTGACTTTTGCTCAAGTTTTCGCTTGTGTTTACCAGTCTACTCTTGGTGCATTCTAACTGGTCTCGTTGTTCCCCCACCTCTTCTATAAATCATAGAGCCAATCTGGTCAGTCTCCATGGCAATCCAATGAGAACGTTCAATACTTTGGGTGGCCAAGTTCAGGCTTTCAGTGCCTTGTGGAAGCATTGCCCTTTGAGACTGTAGCTGATTCATATGCTCGTTCTCTACGACATCTGTGCCGTATTTCATGTCTCCTCAGCCTCCAGGTGTGGCTGTCAAATGTGTACTTCTCACCTCCAGGTGGAGTTTGGCAAATGCTTCTGGTGGTTTCAAAGCTTTGACATATCATGTGGTTATGGAAAGAGGGGTGCATAACGTAGCTCATCCTCCATCTCTGCCGGCATTTGTTTCATTTGCTTCCTATTGCTTTTCATCAAAATCCCTGATCAGCTTCTCTTTGGTCCCCGCCATCCTGCTGGGGCACCCTTGTAGGTCTTCATGGAGGCCGCAGAAGAGGCGGAGGCGGCCATAGAGATTGGGCGCTGGGCCCTCTCCTCTCCTGGAGGGCAGCCTCCGAGCCCCGCGGCCATCACTGCGACCGCCTCGCTGCCAATGCCCAGGACCACGTTAACCATTTTTAAGTGCAGAGTTCAGTGACATTAAGTATATTCAAATGGTTGTACAATCATTACCTTTTCCACCTTCAAACTCTTTTCAGCTTGCAAAACTGAAGCTTTATCCATTAAACAGCTCCTCATTCTCCCTTCCCTCTGCCCCTGGTGATAATCTCAGTTCCACTTTCTGTCTTTGAATTTTATTACTCTAGGTACCTCATATAAGTGGCATTGTATAGTATTTGTTTTTACTATTTTATAGTATTTTGTTTTATTTCACGTAGCATTATGTTCTTAAGGTTCATCCATGTTGTAGCACATGTTAGAATTTCCTTCTTCTGAAGGCGGAATCATAGTCTATTGTATGTACATGTCCCATTTTGTTTATCCAGTCATCTCTCAGTGCATACTTGAGTTGTGTCTACCTTTGAGCTGTAATAAATAATGCTGCTGTGAACCTGAGCAAGTATATACCTATGGGTGAAATTGATGAATAATAAATATGGTAGTTCCATTTTTAAGTTTTTGAGGAACTGTTATACTGTTTTCCCTAATGACTACACCATTTTACATTCCTATCAGCAATGCACAAGGGTTCCAATTACTCTACATCTTTGCCAAAAGTTGTGATATCCTGCTTTTTTAAAAAAAAAAACAACAACAATCATCCTAGCTGGGCGCAGTGGCTCACGCCTGTAATCCCAGCACTTTGAAGGCTGAGGTGGGTGGATCACGAGGTCAGGAGATGGAGACCATCCTGGCTAACATGGTGAAACCCCATCTCTACTAAAAATATTTTTTAAAAAAAATTAGCCAGGTGTGGTGGCATGCGCCTGTAGTCCCAGCTACTAGGGAGCTGAGGAAGGATAATTGCTTGCACCTGGGAGGTGGAGGTTGCAGTGAGCTGAGATCATGCCACTGCACTCCATCCTGGGCAATGGAGCGAGACTCCATCTCGAAAAATAAATAAATAAATAACACTCATCCTAATTGGCATGAAATTATGTGTAATTGTGATTTTGATTTGTATTTCTCTAATCATTAGATGTTGACCATCTTTTCATGTGTTTATTGGCCATAAAATCTCTTTGGAGATTTTTCTTCAAGTCCTTTTGCTCATTTTCAACTGGGTGTTTTGGTGTTTTGTTGTTTGAATTTTTTTATTTTTTATTTTTTATTTATTTATTTTTTTGAGACGGAGTTTCGCTCTTTTTACCCAGGCTGGAGTGCAATGGCGCAATCTCGGCTCACCGCAACCTCCACCTCCTGGGTTCAAGCAATTCTCCTGCCTCAGCCTCCTGAGTAGCTGGGATTACAGGCATGTGCCACCATGCCCAGCTAATTTTTTGCATTTTTAGTAGAAATGGGGTTTCACCATGCTGGCCAGGATGGTCTCGATCTGTTGACCTCGTGATCCACCCGCCGCGGCCTCCCAAAGTGCTGGGATTACAGGCGGGAGCCACTGTTGTTTGAATTTTAAAAACAGATTCTGGATAATAATCAGATGCATGATTTATCAGATACATGGTTTGTGAATATTTTCTCCCATTCTGTGAGTTGTGTTTTTACTCAGTTGATAGTGTCTTTTTTTTTTCCTTCACCATTGGTCATATTTCAGAGGCAGAGGATTTATTTGAGTAGAGGTAGAAGTAGTCATGAAGCAGACCTGAACTTTACCATGAATAGGCAGCTGGATTTTCTTTTTTAATTTTTGCTATTTTGCTATTTTATTTTCAAGGTCTCTTTCAGTCATGCAAGAGTCAATTGAAGTATTGCTATAGCGACTGCTTTTACGATGAAGAATGACCAATTTACCTTGAAAAAAGCTTATGAAAATCTCTAAAATATCATGCCAGAGGCTGATTTGTCTTAGTAATAATTCTGCTTTTGTGATGTGGTTTTATTTAAAGAAAATAGAACTTCATATTTGTTTGTCATTATAGAATAAATGTGGACTTGAATAGTAACTGAAATTGTTTGAGGCAATGGGATATGAAATGGATATTTCTAGTGCAATTTATAAGCAATATGGTTTACAAAAGGTCATGGAAAAGTATCCAGGAACGTAATAATTGCTAGTATGTATTGAGCCCTTTCTAAATGTCA